GGGTCTGGAAGGGGCTTCCTGCTTTCTGGGGCTGATTAGGTCCATGGCTAATATATCCTCCCTTTGTAAAAGATAGTAAATCATCCTTTAATGTATTTAATTCACTTTGAAATTTACTAATATTTTCTATTTGTACTTCTTGTTTTCTTTTTTGTTCCAGTTGCCACTGGTGCTGGTTTTCTTGCCACTGCTGTAGTCTCTCTTCTTGTTTCTTTTCTTTTTCCTCTAACAACTGCTGTAATCTCTCTTCTTGTTTCTTTTCTTTTTCCTCCAACAACTACTGTAATCTCTCTTCTTGTTTCTTTTCTTTTTCCTCCAACAACTGCTGTAATCTCTCTTCTTGTTTCTTTTCTTTATCTTCCAACCACTGCTGTAGTCTCTTATCTTGTTTATTTTCTCATTCTTCTTGTTTCTTTTGCTGTTCTTGTGTTGCTGCCATCAAATCTGCTAAATTGTAGTTTGATTTGCCACTTCTCGTTTCCTTTATTTTTTTTCTTTTCACGTCCCACTCTCTGACACCAATTTGTTACGTATCTACTTGTTTGATAATTTTCGGTAAAAATTCTTTCCAAGAAACTTCAGCAATACAAGTCCCTTCTTGATTAAAACTAGTTTATCTTTCTCGATACAAACTTTGTAATATACTTAACAACTTTTATAACACATGCTATAAATCACAGTGTTTCACACACTTTACTTATGGTACCTACTGTTTGCTTGACTCAATTATCTATCTCTTTATTCAATCCCACTGGTTTTTCTCGCCAGGCTTATATACTAAAAAAAGAGGGCGTCTAGCAAACACTCAAGACATTCGCGGGGTTCCACGATAATTCGAGAAACTCCAGCACGCTCTCAGTGTCACACGACTTCCGCTGTCATAACAATATGTTTAAAAATACTGTTAGCTGCTTGGAGCTGAACAACAATTACAGGTAAAAGAGTCTGAGACCATCTGCCTAGTATACCACCAAAGAAAAATAACTATAACAAGATTTGTGGAGAGGAAACAATGTCTTTCTATTGATTATAAATATATATATCTATCAAATAAGTGTGTATGGTACAGATAACTTATTCAAAAGCTATGATAAGATCGGACGGGCTTCATTGAAACCCATAAGAGGGATGAAAGAAAATTTTATTAAGGAGATTTCAGCATTCAAATGCATCATGTGATATAGAAGTGTGAACATTGAAAATTTATTTAAATATTTCCTTTTGAAATTAAGCAATTAAAGCATAGATAATATAAAAATTTGAATTATAAACTACATTTTCATGCCAATAATTTATAATAAAGTTGTGGAATTAAGTATTGAATGTATCTCTTGAAAAGTTTATGACATGCACACTTTAACCCAGCCTTGTACATAGAGATGATCTTATGTGCAATAGACTGGTCCACTGAACCAATCTCAAACCTATGAAGCTATACATAGTAATGCTTACTATAAGTTTAACCCATTAACTGTGGCAGGAGCAGCTCAGATGCCGTTTTCTGACTCACAGATAAAACTGAGTTGCCATCAAACACAATAAAACGGTAATTCTCGTCATTCACATAGAATTATAGTTATATATGTGCAACTAATAGATATTTCCGTCATTCGCAGCTGAGCCATAGAACTTCAATGACGAAAATATCCGTCATCTGCAGTTAATGGGTTGATATATGTATCTTCATAAAAGTTGACAAGCTTAAAAGTCTGTTGTAAACAAAAAGTTAGAATTTTTAATCAAGTATTTCTACTAAATATTTGCCTATGAATTTCCAAAGCACCTTTACTGAGTCAATCTGAGCGCAAGGGGATCTTCGTGTTAAGGATAAAAATACTTCTTTTCATTCTACAGTTTTCATATTATATTTGCATAACATCTCGAACCTCTTATATGAATATCAAAAGTTGTTTTCAGTAAAACTTTATATTTTCTCTACCCTAACACTTCTCTGTAGTGACCTTAATCCTAATTAGTTTGGGGTCAGCTGGTATGTTTTTGTAAAGCAAGAATTTTTACACCTGGATGGTCAGCCAAGATGGCAACCATAAGGGACAAGCACGTTCAGCAATGGTGATTTGAACTTGTGACCCTAACCACCAGACCCTGCCAGGCCCTTCTCTATGCTAACAATACCTGTAGAAAAATCATCAATGTAAGAAAAATTAAAAGTTAAAAAACAGGAAATAAAATGAGTGATACTTTTTTCTTCTTTCTTGAATGAATAATTTTGCTAGATTGTCTGCCTTCTTACCTTAATAATTTTAATTGTTAACCTTTTCAAATCTGTTTTGTTTTAATTTTATTGCTTGTACTTTGGACTGTCTCCTCCATAAGATAAAATAAATCACAGTGGTACGTAATCAGTCAACTGTCATGAGCGAGGTAATGCCCCATATGAGATTTGCAATCAAAGAAGTATAAAGCTAAACTTTTTGTCTGTAGTTATTAAACATAATGTTAATATATTGAACATGAATGTCAGTGTTTTTTCCCACATACTTCATTTTCTGAAACATCACAACAGATAATTAAAATAATTGTTTTTACAGTCTAGGTTGTAGTTTTTCTAAAATAAAAGGTGTTGAATGCTGCTGAATCTTGTGATTTTATAGAACATTAGATTACATAAAAGTTAAAACCTATGCAGATGAGTAAACAAAAAAAAATCATAGACTTTTAATTACTTACTATCATAGCACAGCAGCAGTTGCATTCCCTTGGAGTTGGGCAGAGTTACAATGGTGTGTGGTGTGATAGGACCTTGGCTCTGCAAGAGTAATTTATATCATGTGTGTGTGTGTATTTACTTGCTTACACTCTTAAAATATTAAAATAGAAACTTAATATTTTTTTTATTCAATAATAATCTAAATATTCTTACTTATATGGTTAAACTTGTATGTATTAGTTCTTTTGAAGAGATTACAAATTCAATTGATCATTTTCAAATGGTTTAGTGATAAATGATTGATTATAAAGAGTGATAATGAGCAGATGCAAACATCAAAATGATTTGTCAGATTTTAAAATTGTCGCTATTGGTCAATAAAAATTCCAGAAAGTTTCCAATATCATTTTAAAGCTGCTACTTATCACTCGGACATTTCTAGTTACTGTGTATAACAATTTCTGTAACATAAGGTGAAAATAAAAGTTTTTTTAAACACACCCTCTGGTGCTACATTTTCACACTATCTAAAATATACATTTTGAGGATGATAAGCAACAGTGTAGTGTTAAAGTGAAACAATTCCTTTCTTACAGCAAATAGCTTAAGTTATGCTTTTCATATTAACAAAGTATTATAATTTTTTAGTTTAAAGTGTTCAAAAGCATATTTATAAACAACCTGATTCAGTTTCAGCCATAAATTAACTAAACAAGAAATTACAATAAAAAAGTTGAGATAATTAAAACCTGCCAATAAAAGCAACTTTAATGGTATGCCATTAAAGTAAATTTTCAAACACTCAAGAGAAAACAAATTCTGAAACTTATCAAAATACACACTCACACACAATAAGAAATAAATAACAGAAGTACAACCAAATATCTTAAAATTCAATCTAATTTTCTACCTACAGTAGTTTACCAAGTAATAAACAATCAAAGACTCCACAAACTGTCATCCAAGTGGACAATTTGATGATGAACACATACCCGCTCATGAAACTACACGTCCCCGTCAGGAGCGTGAGGGAAAAGTGAGAAACAGTAAACAGTTATACAGTTTTTAAATTTGGTCCTCATCTCTAAAGTCTAACACCAGTAAGTTCTTCCCATTCATTAGTAAATTGTTCAAAGCACTGACATTACCTAATTTACATTTTCAGAATAACTGAAAAAAACAACAAAAATAGGTAATTATCTACAACTGTTCACAATATAATCTAAGGCTAAAATCACACAGTAGTAAAGTTACATATTATTTGTACAAGTATGTTGTTTCTACACTGTTTTTTTAATTATTTTAGCAGCCTATTCATGTGCACAGTTATGTTTCTATAACTAATTTATACATTTTGTGTATATATATATATATATATATATTTAGAATAATTGATTACATAACTTTTTAATAATCAGGCTAAAAAAACAAGTACGCCTTCTAAGGTTAACATTTTCCTTACCTGAAAACATATTTCCAATACATACCTCTTCACACAGAATAGCTTGAACCCTCATGCATCTGCCCATGAAATTTACAAGCCACAAGCCTTGAGCTAACTCCCACCTAAAAATCAGGTGTTTAACGTGAACTGCACTAATGCATGGTAACATCATTATGTAATGATAGCCCTACATTAATAGCAAAGCGATAAAACCTCCTTGCTCAGTAACTCACCCTAACCACTTGCACTTGAAATAACTTCATTCTTAGATGAGGCAAGAAGAAAGTGCACCAGGAGTGTGGAGGATGGTTGAGAAGATGTGCAGATGTTAGTATCTATCAAAAATACATTTTCAGATAAGGAAAATGTTAACTTCTGGGACATTAACTCACGTCTTCACACAGAATAGCTAGAATCTCATATTGAAATTGTGGAGGGGTCAGTGTAAACATTAAAACTAGATGGGCTCCCTTCAGAAAGCACCCATAGGGAAAGCCAATGATGCGTGACATCTGATGATAGGAGCTCCATAGGGGCACACCCATGGATGACTGCATATCATTTTGACTAGAGGGAAAGGCAAAAGAGCCCCAAGTGTTGCAGAGGAGGGCAGAATTTTTTGCATGACCAACCAAGCACCCATACAAAAGTATTCAGCAATCTAAGAAGTGTAGTTTGGTTAGGGCACAATCAGACCATATGGTGTGTGTGTGTGTGTGTGTATGGCCTCAACTCAACTGGACAAAAAGAGAAAAGGATGATGAACCCATCCTGCTGCCGGATGATGGCACACTAACTATTTGAGGGGTGATCCACAATACACACACACAGTGCCATCAATACTCTAATTCCACCATATTGTGCTGTACAATCAGTGAGGAACTCTCCAAGGTCTACCACCACAGTGGCTAGGAACTGGTAAGTGGCAAGGGTCTCCTATGCTCTACTTGAAAAAAAAAAGGGGGGGAGGGGAGAATTCCTGTTAGGGAGACCCAAATCCCCATCAGACATCTGCCAGAAAAGTCTTTTGCTTTAGAGAGTGTAGTTGGTGACCATAAAATCTTATTTCGAAAAGTTGGCAGTCACTTGGTGCAGGCTTTTCCTAAGATAGTCCATGGAATGGTAGGTCTGAATCAGGCAGTTTAGTACACAATATTATGATGATACCTCTATTAGTCTGGCAGAACATCCCATCTCAACAGTGGACACTGATGAAGCCAGAACGGATGGAATGAGCACTTTCTGTTACCCCTGACCTGATGTGGGTTTTTGGAAATAAGCATTTCTTGGGAGGCAAAATGCACTTACCCTTCTCAGAGATTGAAGAATAGTGACTGGAAGGGGCTGAAAATCTGCAGGAGATGAAATAGCCAGAGGATAAAGATAATGGGAGAAGAACATGTATAGATTGAACAAAATGTGAAAAAGTCTGTGAGCACCAATAAACAGGGAATAATACACCAACCAGAAGAGTTGGTGGATCCATCCAATATGGGTGGGAGGCAAGAGGTCCCTGGACAAAGAGGAGTTCCAAAACAGACACAAAGAATGATGGAAACCCCAAAAACGAGATGTTCATGCCAAATAACACCAAACAGCCCAAATTGGACACAGAAGACAACCTGGTTCCAAATGAGCATAGAAGTGAGAAATAGAAAGGTGGGAAACAAGAGAGAAAGAATGATCACCTTACCAAGCAGCCAAAGTCTTATGAGGAAAAGCCCAGTCTGGGTAGAGGAGCAAACAAGTACAATGAAAGAGAGTGTGGGAAGCATTGATGGCACATACATTTGAAAAATGGTGACCATAGGCAAGAAAGAGAAAGAATTGTGTCTTCAGAGAAAGATGGTATAAAGAACTTGAAGATCACAGCTTGAACAGAGCATGTAGGAAAGTGCATAAAACCACATTAAGATCCCAGTCAGGC